TAAAAGGAAAAGCTAAGTGAATTTTAGGTAGAAATAGATAGCAAAACTGTAATAGTGGGGGGTTTTAACCTTCCCTCTCAGAACTAGATAAACCTAAATCACCCCCCCAAAAGAGGAAAAAGTCAAGGAGATAAACAGAATCTTAGATAAGCTAGATATGATAGCTATCTGGAGAGAATTGAATGGAATAGAAAGGAATATACCTTTTTCTCTGTGGTATATAGTACCTTTACAAAAATTGACCACATTTAGGGCATAAACACTTTATAGTTAAATACAGAAAAGCAGAAATATTAAATGTATCCTTTTCAGATCTTAATGCAATAAAATTATATTTAATAAGAGGCCATGAAAATAGATTAAAAATTAATTGGAGACTAAATAAACTAACCTTAAACAATGAGTGGGTTAAAGAACAAATCATAGAAACAAATAATTTTATTAAAGAGAAAATAATAATGAGACAACATACCAAAACTTGTGGGATGAAACAAAAGCAGTAATCAGAAGAACATTTATATCTCTAAATGCTTATGCCAATAAAATAAAGAAAGAACAGACCAATAAATTGGGTATATGATTTAAGAAACTAGAAAAAGAACAAATTAAAAATCCCCAATTAAACACCCAATTGGAAACCCTAAAAATTAAAGGTGAGACTAATAAAATTGAATGTAAGAAAATCTTTTAATTAATAAACAAAACTAGAAGTTGGTCTTATAAAAAAATAGATTAAATCATTGATTAATATGATTTAAATAGAGAGAGAAGAAAACCAAATCATTAGTATCAAAAAATGAAAAGGGCAAATATACCACTAATGAGGATAAAATCAAAACAATTATTTGGAGTTATTTTGCCCAATTATATGCCAACAAATTTTACAATTTAAAAGAAATGGAAGAATACTTACAAAAATGTAACCCGCCTAGATTAACAGAAGAAGTAGAATATCTAAATAAACCTATTTTAAAAAAAGAAATTAAATGAGCCATATTTGAGCTTCCAAAGAGAAAAGCATCAGGACCAGATGGCTTCACAAGTGAATTCTACCAAACATTTAAAGATCAACTAATTCCAATATTAAACAAATTATTTGCAACAATAGGCTGCTTTTATGAAATAAATATGGTGATGCTGATACCTAAAGCAGGAAGAGCAAAAACAGAGAAAGAAAATTGTAGACCAATTTCACTAATAACTGTGGATCAAAAAATTCTAAATAACATACTAGCTAGGAGACTGCAACAATATGTAGCACAAAGATTATATATTGTAACCAAGTAGAATTTATACCAGAAATGCATGGATAGTTACCATAAGGAAAACTATTAACATAATTGATTATATCAGTAACAAGAGTAACAAAAATCATATGATTATATCAATAGATGCAGAAAAAGCTTTTGACAAACCACAACACTCATTCCTATTAAAAACACTTGAAAGCATAGGTATAAATGGATTTGCTTAAAATAATAAGAAGCATCTACCTAAAACCATCTGCAAGCATTATCTGTAATGGAGATAAACTAGAAGCCTTCCCAATAAGATCAGGAGTGAAACAAGGATGCCCATCGTCACTAATATCATTCAATATTGTATTAGAAATGCTAACAACAGCAATAAGAAAAGAAAAAGAAATTGAAGGAATCAGAATGTACAATGAGGTAATAAAACTATCTTTTTGCCTACGACATGATGACGTACTTGGAAAATCCTAGAGATTCAACTAAAAAGCTAGTTGAAACAATAATTTTAGCAAAGTAGCAGGATATAAAATAAACCTACATAAATAATCTGCATTTCTATATATCACCCACAAAACCCTGCAAGAAGAGGTAGTAAGAGATGCCTCCATTTGAAATAGCCATAGACAATATAAACTACCTGGGAGTATACATGCAAAACAAACCCAGGAACTACATGAACATAATTATAAAACACTTTTTATACAAATAAAGTCAGACTTAAATGATTGGAGAAATATTAATTGTGCATGGGTAGGCAGAGCCAATATAATAAAAATGATAGTTCTACCTAAACTAATCTACTTGCTCAATGCCATCCTAATTAAATTACCAAAAATTATCTTATTGAGCCAAAAAAGCAGTAACAAAATTCATTTGGAAGAGCAAAAGGTCAAGAATAGCAAAGGAATTAATGAAAAAATGTAAAGGAAGGAGGGTTTAGCTGCATCAGATCTTTGTCTTGCATGAAATAATAAAGAATGAAATGAGTGGAACCAAGAGAACCTTGTATATATAGTAACAGCAATATTGGTAGAAGAATAATGGTAAATGACTAAGTTATTCTGAGTATTATAAATACTCAAATCAACTACAAAGGACCTATGAAGGAAGATGCTATCTACCTCCAGAGAAAGAACTGATAAATAGAGGTATGCATAGCATGATTTTACACATGCACGTGTGCACATACACACACACACACACACACAGAGAAATGTGTGTGTGTGTGTGTGTGTGTGTGTGTGTGTGTGTGTGTGTGTGTCTGAGTGAAATGGTGGCCTTCTCTAGTGTGAGGTAGGGAGGGATGGAGGGAAACAGTTCAGAACTTAAAATATAACCAGAAATAAATTAAATTTTAAAAAATTAAAAAGAGAAAAGCTAATTTATGAGGAGCTGGTACCCCTCAGATTTGGTGGACAGACCACTGTGATCTGAGCCACAATATTCTGCCCTGCAGACTACACTTGTTACTGTATGGGGAAAAGGGGGTGGAGGAGTGTGTTTGCCTCAACTAGTGCTATATCCTTATTGAGTATCTTTTCCATGTTATGGCTAAGTAAGACTGCTGTGGTTAACTGTTAGATGTCCTACAAGTAGCTTATTTCATTCTGATCTCCAAACTGCGTTACTAGACTGGCTTATAACACCTAGTATACAATTCTGGGCTTGAGGATGGTGAATTCAGTGGGCAGTTTAAGTAAGCTATTTCTTTTCTTGGTTATCAACTGAGACATTTTCCTTCTGTTTTTCCCATCCTCGCAAGGCAGAGAAAACAGAAACAAAACGAATTGAATATCTCTAACTTTTCTCCATACTTCCATGTATTCCAAGGGAGAGGACCACTAGCCCTTTTTTTGGCCCCTCTATATTAAGGGTCCAGGTATTGGACATATGTGACACACACAAGTTATGGGGCTGGTACACAGAGAGAGAAAGGCCAAACCTAAATTAACCAGAGGTGACAAGAATAGCAAAGAAGGTGGGATAGGGATGGGGTAAGAAGTAGAACATGAGGTGAGGTGTATGAGGTGTTGAGGGCCTGCTGAGCCCTTTTCAGAGTTGCTCATCCACCTTTGGTGTCTACCTGCCACCCAACTCTCACCTATGGCTTCAAGAAGCTGTAGCATGGGCAGCAACCACACCTAGGTAAAATTGTGTCGGCAAGTGGGCTAAACCAGGCTAGGGATGACTGAGATGTCTTCCCTAAGCACATTATGTGTGGCTGTGTGTGGTTTGTCCTTCGTTCTCAAAGAGGACCATAACATCAGGAAGATGATGCCATGACCTGCAATTAACTTTGATTTGAGTGAGGGAGGGCTGTGCCAAGTCACCAGCCTCACTTTCCTCTCCAGAGCCATCTGGGTCTAGTGGCCAGACTTCCCCTGGTGAATGGGTGGAGAAGCACAATTGGTTCCAGTGCCATGAAGGTGGCTGAAGCAGGTGCTGTGGAGTGCTTAGAGCTTGGTCAGACATTGAAGACACTCTAGTCATCCACTGCATCCCAGACCACTGCCATTTGTCTTGATTTTGTCTTGCTGCTGGACTTGGATGACTGGTGATTTTGTGCAACCCTGCCTCGCTTAAATCCAGTTTATACACAAGTTAGGACTTCACCCTGTGGTGTCATTGGTCCTCTTAGAAAAAGGATAAACAACATAACCTGAGGTCCAAGGAAGGTGGAGAAAAAAAGTCACCTTGAGGGCACTAGTGTAAGTTAGCTCAGTAGCAGACATGGCCTTAGATATAAACAGTTGTATAGCAGAAAAAATTTGGAGTTAAGAAAACTGGGTTAGAGCCTGGATCTGCTACTTAATGCCTATGTGACAGTGGACATAGTCTACTGTGTGACCTGGAAAGTAGCTAACAGCTCTTTCCCTTCTCCAGGCCTCAGTAAAATTAGGGTATTGTACTAGATGGACTAGATAGGGACCAGATCTGATAATCATAATACTCATATCCACTATGAATTGTGGTGCCTGCAACAGAAGCAGCTGGCAGAATGGTGTAGAAGTTTAGTGGGCTGGTTTTTGGTTTTTTTACCTCTTGTATTCCTCTATTTTGTTGTGTTTATGGGTGTATAAGTTGACTCCCTGCTCTGACTAAGGGTTTTTTCTTGAACCTCAAAATCATGTCCCATGATATTTAGGCCTGGACTTTGCCCGCATCAGATCTCTAGGTACAGAAAGGAGGGTCAGCTCCTGGGCAAAGGAATCCTCTCTCACCATACAAAACTGAGTCAGGTGACATTCCCAGGAGCCAGCTGTAGTGTGGGATTTGAGAACTGTTTATATCACCAGATGGTGTTGACATGGAGCTTGTACAATGTCATCTTAGGAGAGGAAAAAGCCATAGGAGAGGAGGCAGGGCCCAGGAGAACCTGGAGATTTAGAACGGCTGAGGCTTCTAACCTTAGGGATGCTCAGCTTGACCAACAGCTTTCCTCAACCTGGATTCTTTGAGAGAAGGCAGCTTAATGGAGCAGAAATAGCATTGAATTTGAAGTTAATTTCAAATCTAGCTCCAATGCTTACGAACTATGTGACCCTGGACAGGTCATCTCATTCCTTTGAATCTCAGTTTCCTCACATATAAAATGGGAATAGTAGCACTCATACTCCCTACTTCATCTGACTTTGGCAAAATGCTTTTCTAAGTCTTAATGTGCAATAGAAATGGGGAAGCAGATATGAAGAAATTTATCAACGATGTTACTGAAAGAGGAAAATATGCTTCTTTTCCCTTTTCCAGAGCAGAACTTTGACCTCGGTCCCAACTTTTTCTTTGCTGCCTACATGAACTGGTCACTTTTCAATCTTTTGCCTCGAATTGAACTTCAGAGTAAAAGCTCAAAGGATGGAGGGATCCCTAAGCTGAGAACACATAGGAAAGCTGTTGGGTTTGCTCCCCAGAAATGGTAGTCTGTCTCTGACTCATGGATGATAACGGTAATAGTAATTTTCCATTTCTCTAATACTTTAGAGTTTACAAAGTGTTTTCCTCACAATAGTCTTGTGAAATAGATGTGCTATCGTCATCATCATCATCATTGTCCCCATTTTATAGACAAGGAAACTTTTTAATGAAGGGAAGTGACCTGCTCATGATAACACGGCCGATAAATATCAGTAGCTGAATCACTTTCTTAAACAAACAAAAAATAAGTATGAAGAGCTGGATTTCAAACTGAGATATCCTGGCTTCAAAACCAGTGTGTCTCCATTATGCCAAGCTGCTTTCCCCAGGATATTTGGCTGCCTCTGATGAGGGTTCACCCATCCTTTACCCCCAAGCTGCAAGCTCATGCTGTGCCTTCCTGTCCCAGTCTCAGAGCAGTTTGGTTTGAGCAGTTCACAGTCTTAAAAAAAATTGAGATAATTTTCATATCCTCCCTAAATCTTCTCTTCTCCAGTTTAAACCTCCCCAGATCTTTCAGATGTTAACTGGTATGTCCTACCTTCAATGCCCTCTAAATGTAATTCAGTTTATCAATGAGCTTTCCTAAAATGTGGTGCATAGAACTGACCAGGGAGTTCAACCTCTTTATCTAACAGATGGGAAAATTGAGGCCTATAGAGGGAAAATGACTTCTCTTTCGAAGGTCATATAATGTTTTAATAGACCCAGGACTTGAATTCAAGCCATTCCTATTTCCAGACCTATGGATCATACTACCCTATGCTGTATATCCTAGCTGCCCAATCCCTGCTCCCTATTATTCTCTATGCCCTTCAAGCCCCATTGCCAGCTTTTCTTCATAGGCTGAAGGCCAGAGCCTGGGGCCTCAGTGTTCAGCCCTCAAGAAATGCAGGCCATTCAATCTTTCCTAAGCTCTTCTTGCAGGCTCAGGGCCATTTGGGAGTGTCTATCTGCCCCTGATTGTATCTTCCTGCTTTTCCCCTCCATCTCATCTTCATTCACTATATTTTTTCAGTTTCCTGGATGGACCCAGCAAAGACTGACTCCTGGGTGGTCTGGGAAAAGGGATAGTGAGAAGAAGTGGGCAGGAAGGATGGGGGAAGAAAAAGAACAGGCATCCTTAAAGCTGTGACACTCTGTTGGGGACAGACTGACACCTGCTGGTCAAATTAGGAACTGACTTGACTGGCCATTAGCAATGATTCTCCATTTTCACGCAGCATTGTGGTATGAATAACACTTTTGCCTGAGTCACACCAAATTACCCCAGGCCTTTACAAAGGAATCATCCCAGCCTCTACCTTGATTCATCCTCTAAAACCATCTGGTGTAAGACCCTCTCCCCACAATTCGGCCCTGTCAGGGAGAAGTCCTAGGCTATAGCTTAGATTTACAATTCCTCTTCACCAAATTTTGTTGATCCCTTTTTCCTAATAACCTCACCCATATATCTTCTCTCTATTCTTGATGCCACCACTGCCCTAGTCCAGGACCTCCTCATTTTACACACACACACACACACACACACACACACGCATGTATGTATATCTATGACACAGCCAGGCTAGGATTACTATGTTCTTCCTGACAGTTTCCCCTAAGTTGTACATACATACATAGTATACATATGTATTGTGTACATATACACAAACATATATTCAAGTATATGTGTACACACATATATGTGCATCCCTATGATACAGTTAGGCCAGTCTCACTGTGTTCTTTCTGACCTTATACTTTTCCTCGCTCCCTTCCCCTAATTCCTACCCCATACTCAGCTCAGCCTTTCAATGTTTTTTCTCTTTTTTTTCCACTTAAATTTTTTTTCCAATTATATGCAAAGATAGTTTTCAGAATTCATTTTTTGGGTTTTGTTGTTGTTGTTGTTGTTGTTGTTGTTAGGCAATGGGGTTAATTGACTTGCCCAGGGTCACACAATTAGTCAACATTCATTTTTGTAAGATTTTGAGTTCTAAATTTTTCTTCCTTCTTTCACTCCCTCCTCCCCAAGACAGCAAGCAATCTGCTATGGGTTATACATGTACAATCATGTTAAACAGATTTCCACATTAGTCATGTTGTGAAAAAAGAATCAGAACAAAGGGGAAAAACCATGAGAAAGAAAAAAAGTGAAATAGTATGCTTCAATCTGCATTCAGGCTCTATAATTCTTTCACTGGATTTAGATAGCATTTTTTATCATAAGTCTTTTCGAATTGTCTTGTATCATTGTATTGCTGAGAAGAGCTAAGTCTATTATGGTTGCACAATGTTATTGTTACTGTGTACAATGTTTTCCTGGTTCTGCTCACTTCACTCAGCATCAGTTCATGTAACTCTTTCCAGGTTTTCCTGAAATCTGTTTACTCATCATTTCTTATAGCGCAATAGTATTCCATTATATTCATGTACCACAACTTGTTCAGACACCCCCCAATTGATGGGCATCCCCTCAATTTCCAATTCTTTGCTACCACAAAAAGAGCTGCTATGAATCTTTTTGTACATATGGGTCCTTTTCCCTTTTTTAATGAACTCTTTGGGATAGAGACTTAGTAGTAGTATTGCTAGATCAAAAGGTATGCACAATTTTATAGTGTTTGGGGCATACCAATGTCCTTTTTTTATACCTAATTACTCTTTCCTGGAACTAGCCCACCCCTTCAAATCCCATCCACCCAGCTAGACCTGGGTTTTCCACAACAATTTTCTCTGGTCAATCTAATCCATACCAATCTGTCTCTTTGAATTCCTTTATCCATTGTGATCTATACTACTCATATTGTAGTTTGTTTTGAGAAAATGTGGATATTCCCTACCAGCTTCTGACCATATGCATGATTCATTCATTGCTGCAGGGATTTGGTTCTTTGGGGTGAAAAGACCTATTGCCTTTTGCCATGTATGAATGACAGCTTGTGTTTGGAGATGACAAAGCAACCCCCTTAATGGCCACTGAACAGGAAGAGTTGATGATTTGGCAGACCTTCCATAAGGTTGTGAGTTTATCCCTGTACTTCTCTTTGACCGTTCATGTAACATCATACAACTCTGGGGCAAATTTCTGAATGAGCATATATCAGCTAAATCCCATGTCCTGCTTAGACAAGCCTGATCCTGGGTTTTGGGTGAATGAGTATCAGTATTGAGATGGATGTGTCCTAGATTGGAGGTCATCTTGTGAGTTTAGGAGTGGTCCTAGGCTCTTTGGTTGGAATTGCCTAGTGACAAAGGGAGTAGTTTTCAACAATGACTGCAATGCTTCTTGGAGAAGATGACCACTGGAGAGAGGAAAAATCGAAATCCCTGGCTCAGCTTTCCAAAAGTCACAGACTGTTAGGGAGATAGAGCAGAGCTGAGGTGAAATGTGAAATGACTAATTGGCAGCCCTGTAAACTATTCCACATTGAGATGGTTTTAAGTATTAGCCTCCTGGCTAAGAGTGTAATAATAGTATTGCCACTTGTGTAGTGTAACCGTAGTCATGTATGCGGTTTGTCTTTTATCATTTGTGTGTATAGGAAATAAATACCTGTCCCTTACCTGATTCATATTTTACATAAACTACATTTCTATTCCCCAGTTTAGGGGGACCCTAGATATGAGCCTTAAGCAATTTGGTTTTTTCCCCTAGGGTACCAGGATGGGGAACATAACTAGCCAAGGAATGTGAGCCCAGCTTCTCTTATCAGAGATCAGACTTCCCCAGGACTGAACCTGGTTTAGACTGTGTGACTAGGTCCAGAGTTGAGAGGGTCCTTTTTAGTGGAGAAGGGAATGGGACAAGAACCCCAGCTCCCTGGGCCCAGCAATATTAGATAATTTATTAATTCAGTAACATTAACATTAATCTTTTTTTTAAACATTAATCTTAATGTTAGATTCTCAGTTGGTATTTACTGTCCTGTGTCTCACATGTGTATGTCTCATTTCCCTGACCAGATTATGAGAACTCACTGGGAACTCATATACAAACTTTTTTTATTTCACCTCTATCCTACTGTTTGCTGAGTATTTGTTGATTCAATTTGACTCAATGAATTTTTACTGAGCAACTCCTGTGTATAATGTGCTACATACTGGGGAGAAAAAACCAAAACCAAAACAACCCTAAGCCTATATACATCAATATGCTCTTCCTACTACTTGTTACAAGTTGTTACAACTTGTGAATCCTTTGGCCTTAGGTAGGAAGGGTTGCTGGGGCAGGGCAGCCCACCGGGTTGAAATCCAAACCATAGTTACCTCCCTTTTCTTTGCAGGGTGTGTCTTCCCCCTTATTACAGCCCTTCTCTTACCACCATTATTTTGGCTTACTTACTCATGCCTGGACAAGCAGAATTACTGAGAAGGGAGTTTCCAGAACAGCAATAGACCACAGTGTGAGCAAGAACAGGTCTGCACTAAGTAGGCAGGGGGTGCCTTCAAATTGCTAGAGAGCAATTTTGGAAGGAACAAATGTTTGAGTCATTTACTTTGTAGTTCAATCGTCCCGTTCTTGATGGCCATAGATGACTTCAGGAACACTCGTCATATTTCTTTTGAAGAGGAGAGAACGATGTCTGTTATGCCCTTCTCCCTTGATGCTTGGTGACCAGTATTGTTTACTGCTAGTCATTTTGGGCAGAGAGCCAGTAGTCAGTAGCCTAAGGACCCAAGTTGGGCATAAGCTGTGCAGCTTTCTCTAGGTGAGAAAGCAAGAGGCCCTTGTGCAACTTGGCTAAAATATTTCCTGACCCTACGTACGGCCTGGACATCTCCCACACTTGCTTCTTTAACCTGAATGGTGGAAGTGCTCTTCCCCTATCCCAGTCAAGGAAGATGGGATAAGTACAATTGAACAACATGTTTTTACTATTCCAGGAGCTAGGGAATACAAAAGAAAAAAATTAGTCCCTGCCTTCAAAGAGCTTATTTGGTTAGAGGAGACAATATACACACACGGATAAGTAGATAGAAAATATATATATAAAACAGTATAGATAGAAGATGCTACTATATGGATAGAAAATCTGTTTTTGGCACTTTTGCTAAGTATAGTAGATTTAGGATTTGTTACTCTGGGCCAGCCTTGAGCCAGTCATGTGGACTGACCACACTCACAAAAGGCTGCATGTTCCCTGCTTTACTTCTAAGAACTGGGAAATAGAGCGAGCAGGTAAATCTGGTAGATTGGGTCCCTCCATTTTGGGCACAGGCTGGGAGAGAGCCGTGATTCAGAGAACATTCCCTCTCCACCTTATACTTCTGATTCTAAGGACTTTGCCACCATGACTCATCCACTTACTCATCTACCTGGAACTTCCCTTAGCTCCTGGAGCCTGATCACCTAAGAATCTGGCCCCCTTTTCCCATTGGTGATTTCCTTCCAGAGCCTCCATTTAGGGGACTGCTCCAAGCCAGCTAGGCTTCAGTCCCCTCCCCAACAATGCTCTACAGACTTCGCCTCCATGTCTTCCTTTGTTCCCACTCACCCTCCCTTTTCGGCTCCCTTTTTATATGTTATCTCCCCCCTTTAGAATGTAAGCTTGAGGTCGGGACTGTCTTTTTGCTTGTATTTGTTTCCCTAGCACTTAGCACATACTAAGACCTTAATAAATGCTTGTTACCTGCCTGCTAGTGTGTTTAGAACCAAATATTGGGTTCATTGGGGCAGCTAAGTGATACAGTGGATAGAGCAACAGACCTGGAGTCAGGAAGACCCAAATTCAAATCTGGCTTCAGACACTTAATAGCTGTGTGACTCTGGGTGAGTTACTTAGCCCTATTTAACTCAGTTTCCTCATCTGTAAAATGAACTGGAGAAGGAAATGGCAAACCACTTCAGTATCTTTGCTAAGAAAACCCAAAGTGGGGTCATGAAGAGTTGGACATGACTAAAATGACTGCACAATTAGCTTCATTCCATATGCACAAGGCCTTTTGGAAAGCCATGCCTTTTGCTCTGTAATCTAGATGACCATGGCTTTTTGGTCTATGGCTTAACCCTATTTGACTCAGTTTCCTCACCTGTAAAATGAACTGGAGAAGGAAATGGCAAACTACTTTAGCATCTTTGCCAAATGGAGTCATCACAGAGTTGGAAACAACTGAAAAATGACTGAACCACATTAGAGTATATGTGAAGCTAAGCTAAGATCACCTTGGCTGCTTCTAAAGACACATGTGCTTAGTGCTGACAGACGCTGGGATGCTAGTAATGCCTTGGTCCCTTTGATAGCAGCAGGGGAAGGAGGCTGCAAAGAGGATTAGCTAATGAGCCAGAAAAAATTACCCTCTCATTAGAGAGGAAGAGCAACTTGATTTCTTCTTCCTTCTGAATGTGTGGTATGGAACTCCTCTGTGGCTTTTTGGGGAATGAGGGAGTCCTCCCCAAGGCAGCTATGGTGCCCTCTTGACATTGTAATCAACTTATATGCTACCCAGGCAAACCTGATACTGGATCTCAAGCTCCTTAATGAATCTTTCTTTGTGTTTCATTCTTTGAATATAGGTAACAAGATGGACCTTGGAAGCCTTGGAAGTAACCTGGTAAATTTGAATTTTTGAGAGCTCCTGCACTCGTCAGCTGGAGCTGATTGGCAGCAGGAGGAGTTTCCTAAAATGCCCTTCTTGAAGATGACCACTGACAGAAGGATAAGTCCATCCATGTCCTGGTTATCCAGATGATATGGACCTTGAGGGACTGGTATGGATTGTGCAGAGCCAGGATGATTAAATGGTTCTCATGAGTTTAAGTCAGTCAATGTATGATTATGAGTCTTTTGAGTCTTTTGTGTCTTACGTAGTCTTGTGTGGGAGAAATAAACGGCTATTCTACACTTGATGTATTCCACTTTGAGGAGATACTAGACAAGAGGCAAACTAAAGTAGCTTTAAGCAATTTCCCCTGGGACTTTGAGGTGGAGATCAGGCTCCAGTTGAACAAAGAGGCAGAGGTAGGAGAGGGCATCTCTGGCCCCTCCCTGCCCCGCCTCAGCACAGTAATAGTTTGTCATTATTATAGAAAACAACAATCGGAATGGACAATCAATGGGGCAGTTGTCCTTAAGATAAAGATTAATCCAAAAAGGGATTGTGGGAAGACAGACACACTAATAGCTTGAGGGTGGAACTGTGAATTAGTTCAACCATTCTAAAAAACAATTTAGAATGATACAAGAAAAGTCACTAAACTATTTATATTCTTTGACCCAGTGATTCAACTACTGGGCATATACTCCAAAGGAGGTCAAAGACAACAAAGTTCTATATATGCCATTAGACCCCATGTTGGGCAGCAGATAGAGGGCCCTGAAGTCAGGAGGACTTGAGTTCAAATGTGACCTCAGACACTTACTAGCTGAATGACCCTGGGCAAGTCATTTTACCTTGTTTGTCTCAGTTTCCTCATCTGTAAAATGAGCTGGAAATCACTCCATTATCTCTGCCAAGAAAACCCCAAATGGGGTCACAAAGAGTCAGAAACAACTGAAACGACTCAACAAATAACTCCATGTTTGAAGCAAATTTAGTTTGCTTTAGGTTCTCTTACTTTTTTGTATTTTCCTGCATTATTTTCATTCTGAAGGTGTCCAAAGGGGTATGTGTGGCTTACATAACCTCAGAAGATTAACCCAAATGGAATTATTAAAAAGGTCATGTAATGTCATGCTATAGCAGAACATTTAAAACAAAGGCAGTTGACTGCTTTATAAGAGGCACACCAGAAGAGGTTGAGGATGTAGCTGCTGTGGGGCCCTGGCCTCAGAGGCACCATGAGGTGATGTTAAAGCTATCAGAGACTCTTCCATGACCACCAGACTCCAGGTGTTAGCTGGAGATTAGTTGGAAGCAAAAGCTGTCCCTACATCTCTACAGGAGATTAGCTGGGAATAGCTGTTTACCATATAGTAAGCTTGTTTCCTTTTTATTTTTCTAACTTTGATATGGGGGCATGGTTGGTAGCCCTCTTCTATAATAGATTTCTAGACAATGCTGTTCCTTTGGCAAATTGAATACCACCACTGGAGAGTAGATATATAAAACCTCTCAGAATAGTTGTGCTTGATTCACTTTAATAAGTGTATTTTTTTTTATTCTTTTCAAAAACTGTAGTCTAATCTATAATGTGACCATGTAGTCCTTTGAGTCATATGATGTTGTTAAGAATGTTGGTGGGATGTAGAGTCTGAGCTATTTTGATAGTTATAAAATAAGTTACAATGCTCTTTACATTTTCAACCCTAAACTGGATAAAACAGAACGTGGTCTGATTTCTAAGGCTGGGATCTGTGGGAAATTTAGGTCATTATTCTTGTACATGCAGAAGGATAGAAAGCAACTTGGGTTGGAAACGATAGGAACCCATACAGTTCCTACAGTGCATGTGAAAAGGGCTGAAAGGGGCAACTAGGGCAACTTCATCTCAGAGTACCATCTGATTGCTGGTGCAGTGATTGCATTCTGAAAAGCTACTTTTGCCCCACTCATTTGTATTTCTATCTTTATTGCTCATGTAAAGCAGGTGCACCTGTGAAGAGAATTCCTGCACTTGATACCAAAAGATTTATAGCATCATTTTGTGGCAATGAAAAACTGGAAATAAAGTGGCTGTCCATTAATTAGGGAATGGATGAACAAATGTTAGTATGTGAACACAATGGAATATTACTGTACAGAAAGAAATGACAGATATGAGGAATTCAAAGAAATGGGAAGACTTGTATATAGACTGATGCAGAGTGTATCAAGCAGGATCAAAAGTACAATAAACATATCTACAATAACAAAGACAAGAATAACTCTCAAAGGCATTTTTTTAAAAACTCAGATTAAATATAATGAGCAATTTTGCTCTGAGCACAGATGATGAAATCTCTTTATTCAATAGTAGAGATTGAAGATTATGGGTGAAAAATGTTGCATATAGTGTCAGATCTAGTTTTCATTAACTTTTTCTGTTACAAAGGAAAGTTCCATGGGAAATGGAGTGTACTAGGAAGGGATTCGGTATAAAGAACAAGACATCAGTGAAATAAAACAAAAGAGCTGCTCAAAGTGGGGAGATTTTGCAAAGAGTACAAAGGGATTATAGCATTTAGAGATTAACTAGTTTAACTCTACCATTTTTATAGATGAGATAACAGAGGTCCCCAAGAAGTGAAGCCCAAAGTCCTGGAGCTAATTAAGTAGCTGGGATTCAAACACAGGACTTTCAATGGAATCCTTTTTCCACTATCATGCTATTTATATGATCCAATAAGTTTCTGCTTTTCATTTCCTTTCATATTCTTTTCCACTATTAGTTTCTACAACTAAGTTCATACCATCTCACCCTGTCCCCTAATTTCTTTACCTTATTCCTTTAGGCTAAATATAAAAATCATCTTAATGATTGAACTTTCCCCAAGTAGAATGGACTTTCTCTGGAGGTGGAGTTCTAACCCTTCACTGAAGATCTTCAAATGGAGGTTAGACAGACCACTTAGGAATGTTGTATATTCCTTCACAAGGTCATCCTAGGCCAAGGAAACTTGAGGTCTCTTCCAGCTGAGTCTGGGATTCATTTGCTAAGTGTCTTCCCTTCTCACCTCCTCAGTTACACTCTAAACTCCTTAAGGGTAATTATGGAGCATTTCCATTTATTCTCTCCCCCTACTGAGTGTTTCTGATTCTCCATAATTGGCTATCATGACTCAACTGCCTTTTCACCCCTTAACTTCACTATTTGGAACCTTCTCATCTGGGAACATTCTTCTGCCAAGCTTGTCCCATTAGTGAGTTATTCCTAGGAGCCTCCATTATGGGGATGGGCCAGGCTTGCCATGCTTTTTTCTTCTCCCAACAGTGGTCTGATCCTCTGGACTTCACCACCATCCCCTCTCCCCCACCTTAACTCTTGCTTTTCAGCTCAGTTATACATTGATTTCCCATTAGAAATGTAGGCTCCTTAAGAGGAGGGACTTTCTTTTTGCCCTAGCACTTAGTACAGCGCCTGGCACATGGTCAGCATTTAATAAATGGTTGTTGTCCCTGCCTTGCCTTGCTCTGCCCCAAACTTTCACTCTCAGACTCCAGGAAATAAAGGGAAATATGCTCAATTTCTATAGAGGTCTATCTTGGATGGAAAATACACAGTTACTTTGGTGAATAATCCGTCACATGATAATCTCATCTTTCACAGATTAAATCCTGGCACTTGGATCCTGTACTTTGCTCTGGTCAGACCACATGTAGATTACTGTGTTCAGTTCTGGGTACCACATTTAAGGAAGGGCATTAACAAACTTGAAAATCATCCCCAGGAGAGGGATCATTATGGTAAAGGGCCTTGAATTCATGCCTTTAAGTCAGAGTAACTAGGAATGGTATTTTTTTTCCTGGAGAAGACATGGGTGTGAGGGATTATAGTTGTCTTCAAGTATTTGACAGGCCTGGTAGAAAAGTCTTTCTTGTTCTGCCTGGCTCCAGAGTGAAGAATTAGGAATAATGGGTGGAAATCTGCAAAGGGGCAGATTTACATTGTAACAATCTAACAATTGGAAACCATCCCCAAATGAAATGAACTGTCTCTGGTGGTAGTGGATGCACCCTCATTGGTCCTCTAACAAAAGTTCAGGGACCACATCTTTATATTATAGTGGGAATTCTTAGTGTTCAAATGCAGGTTGGACTAGAAGCCCGCCCCCCCCCCCCCCCCGGTCCCTACCAACACTGATTTCAGTCGCTGAAGCACTGCTACAGAGAAACTCAAGAATTCACAACTCAGATCTGTATGTGTCCCTAGCCCTCTGGATCTGGTTGTGTGTATAAAATTACTCCGATGATAACATTAACTTAATGATCTCTACAAGGAAGAGTGTGTATGGAAAAGACAGCCTTGAGGCCACATGTGGCCCTTTGACTGAATCCAAACTTCATAGAACAAATCCCCTTAATAAAAATATTTGTTCTTGGACTTGGACTTAGCAAGAGGCTGCACCAAAGGACCTAGGGGGCCACTTTCGGCCTCAAGGTCAGAGGTTCCCCATCCCTGACCTAACTAAATAATCTTGCTAAACACATTTTTGGTTTTTAGCTATGATTCCTGGATGGCACGAGTTTAGATTTGCTGAAACATTGTTTGTTGATTGTATATTCATGGAAGAGGAATAATTTCTACCTTCTTGTTTCAACATGAAAAGATAATGCTTAAAGTAACAATTTCTCTGAGGGAAGGATGAATTGCTCACTGATGTATCTTTCAGTTTGTTATTACTTCATATCAGAGGGAAGGGCACCTGGACTGTCCTGGCATAAGTGGCAAAGAAAACTGGTAGCAAATTGAAACAACCATTTTTATTTGGAAGCCTCAAAACCAACCTAGCCTAGCGGATCTGAATATGACAGGATTCAGGACCAAGTTCCTCCTGGCGAACCCAACAAACTTTCATTTCTGCCTGAATGATAAGTCCTCTGGAAAATGGTCTACTACAGAACTAACTTTGCCCAGTCTTTTAAGAATGAGTAGTACAGACAAAAGTCAATTATATTTTTAACTGGATCATAGATCATAGGACTTAGGGCTTGGATAAAGAGCTTTAGAGCTGATTTAGCCTATTGTCTTCATTTTACAGAGGAAGTTGAGGCCCAGAGAAGGAAAAGGACTTGCCTGAGATCACACAGGGCTAGGCTTTCTGATTCCAAATCCAGGGATTTTTCTGTAATATCATTCTAACTCTGTAATTTACAGTAATTAATTATTTAATCATTTTTACAGAGGAAATTAAGGCTCAGAAGGAACGTTGACTATGACATGGTCATATAGCTAGTATCTGAATCCTAACAGTAAAGTGAGTCTCTCATTGCATGTTAGTTATCATACTGATTGCCATCAGCTCCAGTATAGTACTTAGTTTAGGTCAGTTGTTCAAGTCATGAAATATGGTGGAGCTGAAAAAGATCTTGGAGACAGTTCAGTCTAACCAACTTATTTTTACAGAGGAAATCAGGACTCAGAAAGGGGAGGTGACCAGTCCATGGCCATACTGATAGTAGGTATATTAACAACAATTTAAAACCTGGTCTCTTGATCTGTTAATAAGCCTAATTATAAAGTGAGGTCCAATAGCAAACCCACCAAGTCATCACAATGAAGATGAGGGACTGGAGCTTTCTTAATGAAATCATCCTAGTTTTCTGTTGGACTTAGAGGTCAAAGATTATAATGAGACAAAGAGCCACGCTTCTTGCACACAGATTATCAGTGATTACAATACCATTAACAAAGCATTACTCCATCCTCCCCCCACAAATGAGTAAATTACTTACCTTCCAGAAGTTCTAGTCTCTGTGGAGATGAAACCTTGCAAGGGATTCACTATGAAATAAAAGGATTCTAACTTTAAAGGGACCTGAAGACACCATGGAGATGATCCAGTGCAAGGTTCTTAATCTTTTTAGTGTCAGGGACACCTTTGGAAATCTGATGAAGTCTTCTCAAAAAAAGGTTTCTAAATGTATAAAATACGTGGTACTATAGAAGAAACCAATTATATTGAAATAGTTACCAAAATACATTTCAAAGTTCATGGACCCTAGGTTAAGCACCCTTAATGTAGTCTAACTTCCCTGTTTTACAGATGAGGAAAAAGAGGTCCAGAGAACAAAATACCAAACGCAAGTTTGACACAACATGTCAGCATTTATTAATCAAAGATGGAGCAAACCCGAGATGGTGAGTTCTTTCCCTTTTAAAATCCAAAGCTTGTTTGTGGTAAATGGTGGCTCTTTAAAAATGGTCACTTACAGGTTAAATACTATAGAACAATGCTTTCTTTTTAGAGTCAAATACTAGTTTAAAATGGGCCAAAATAAAGGGTCCCTCCTTTAAATTACTTTGGGTGGGGAATCTCACAGATCTAATGAGACATTTCTGATGTAATGTTTAAAACTCAGGTGAAATACCCTTAAAGCACTTTTAGCCTTGAGGTAGCATAATTATGCTGAATTAGATTTCTTTTTTTTGTTACTGTGAATGGAGGAAGAAACCCTAGTTATCCATTTTTAGCCAAAATCAGGCTAAATGGATTCCAGGAAGTCTCCCATGAGGTTAGTGAAACTTTCCTCTTCTATCTTTATAGTACAGACACAGTCCTGTAGGGTATTAAAACGAACAGGAAGGTCTCTGACTGTACAACAGATGATTGACTTGACTGAAGACCACTAGCAGTAATAACTGCAAGAGCAACAATAGGTAAGTGGAGTGAAAAAAACCAAAACAATTTATATTTTGGCAAAGTTGGTTACAAATACAATTTAAGAACAAAAATTACAACATCAACTAACTGAAAACAAAGTATGAAGGATGTTACTTCAAAGGGTTTTTTTCCCCCCTTTTTCTCAGGGCAGAATGCACTTAAAAAAAAAAAAGACAGGATTCTTTTTTTTTTTCTTTTTATACATTATGAAAAGCCTGGGCTGGTACACCAAACAGAAATATCACAAGCCAGGATGCTGCTGACCAAGAAAAGCTCTTCTCACTGACTTCACAAAAATCACAAGCAGAGCATCAGCAGAAGGACAAATTGCTTCTCTTAGTCTCAAGGACACTGTCTCTTGCCCATTTTGCTGCTGAGTCCTTTCATTAACATGTTCTACTGCAGAGCTTTCTTCATAATCATCTCTGAAGATCCACGGCAGGTTTTTTTTTTGCCTTTTTTTAAAAAACAGAACACAGAGCAACAACAATCCAGAAAACAAAACCACACAAATTCATCCTTCAGAGATTAAAAAGAAGAGTCAAAGTCACTGGAATAAAATTAGGCTCAAAAGATGCATATCAATACTGCTAACCATATTTCAAAGCTATCAAGCCCCTTCTCCCCTCAGTACAAAGGAAATGGCAAGGCCTGGAAAGGGAGAGTATAATATAAAGGGGTTAAAAAGCACTGGCTAAGGTGGAGCTTCCTTTTGTTCCATACTGGTTGCTTGCAGCCCCCACCGAACATAGGAGATACCACTGAGCTCTACAAAAGTGGCGCTGTCATTCTGACGTACTGGCATAACTTACAAAACAACACAATTTGGTTGCTTAGCTTTACTTTTGGCCACTGCAAAAGGTACATCCTCAGAACCCCACGTTCTTTAAAATCCACTGTGGCTGCCATTCTTTCCCTGTACTCTGTTACATACATCCTCGTTTAATCACTCTTGAAGCTCAACTATAGGCCCACAAATGTCCATAAAAACAGAGGGATCTGGTCTTCTGAGCCATATGTCATTTTTAATTAGAACAACTGAGCCCAACAAAAAAGGCTTGAAACCTGTTGGGTTCCACAGTCATACAGCACAACTATGTGAGTAAGACTGGGGTACTGGGTAGAGATTTTATAGAACAGATTTAAACTATGAACAAAAGGCTTAAAACTTCTTGACATAATCCATATCTATCCCTAGCATGCAGTTTGCTAGACAGTCTAAGTAATACAGATGCATGGTTAACAAACAGCACCTCATTTTGGTTTTTATTTTGGAAATCAATTTGTTAGGGCTGCTCTGACAATACATACATACGTGTGTGTATATATATATATATATATACGCATATATATATATACACATATATACATATATATATACGTGTGTGCGTGTGTGTGTGTGTATATGTATACTCTCTTACAGCACCTTCTCGCTATTACTGTCAAAAGACCAAGTTCATTTATTTAAATAACCAAATATCCCAGTTACCTGTGGCAAAGAACTACTGCTGTTCATGCCATTTAAAACTCAAGATCCAAAAATTAGAAAAAAGGTGCAAAACCTTGGAAACATTAATGACATTTCTGTTGCTTTCTGGATTCATCTGATACAAAACAGACACTGCAGAAAAGAATGGAGTCAGAAAAACATCAAAACATGAAATGTCTTTGAACAGTGCTATATCCCTGTTTCACCAGCATAAATCGTAAATCAGATCACAATTCTGAGAACTATGCTGTGAGCTAACACAGTGCTCTTAGAAAAGATTCAATCTGCTTCCAATTCATGTAACCAAAGCAAAAAAAAAAAACAAAACCCAAACCCTTAAGATGAATCAATAAGGATTGCTGCTGGCTGAAAGTTCATCGTGTATGTGTGTGTGTGTAGGGGGGTAACTACATGCTGTCATGCTTTTCACAGGTGTCAGTCATACTGGCCATATGCCCATGGCAGAGCACTAGCTCACCAGTGATGAAAGGTAAATAATTAGGTCAGTTCTACTAGCATCATCATCCACAATGAGAATTATACAACCCCAGATACATAATCACTTGGGCAGGTCCCAGTGAGTCATACAACTCAAAAGAAAACGGAAAATAGGAAGAGCCTCTAGATCTACTATTACCTTGCTATAAACTTAATAATCTTTATGTAATTTTTGTGCTGCTTCTGTGATCCCCTTAGGATAGATTCTCAATCACTCCGATGGAAAAAAATCTTATTGCAAAGCATGTCAAGCAATCAAGGGAACTCAAAATTGTACTTGACATATACATTAAAGGCTAAAGGTGCTCTATTCAAACACAAATTTACATTACCTCCTAAAGAAGACAAATAGAACACCAAACATCCTGAACTCCCCAATTACAAAGCCTTTTAAAAAAAATTCCTTGAAATAGTAAATGTTCCCAACTTTTTGAAAATACAGTTGACATCTGGGAATGTCTAGCTGAGTGAGAGAATACTATAAAAGAATGCAAGTGAGGGGAACTCCCTTGAGTCCAGAAATATTTTTTACTTTTAAGTTACAAAAAGGAGCTTTTTCTTCTTTAAAAAGAGTTTTAAAACTTATCATTCAACAGCAAAGCTATAAGATATCTCTGAGCAATAGAAAGGGCTCTCCTACAGAGGAACAGGTCAACTTCTCAGCAATATTACCACCACCTGCTGATGTGGACAACTGGAAAGAAAAAGGTGACAGCAGCTTAATCAAGAAGTTTTTCAAGAAGTTAAACCTATCACATCTCCAGACTCCTTGTTTTACACGGATGACAATTTAGTCGTACTAACTGTAGAGAGAAACTTTTATTTTTAATTGGCTCTGTCATCCATAGGAGGCTGAAAAAACTAACTCTCAGACCCTCCCTTTTATCTTTCTTCCTTTAAGACATGGTTTACTGATGAATGACCTATGACTATGACCTATGTTTCAGCACTGTACTCTCTTCAAAGAATATCCAAATGCCTTGGGATCACCTGTAACATGTATAGCTTTCAGTAGATAGCACAAACATCACAGTACCATAATATTCTAAAGAGAGTTACTTTAAAATATCCAGGTAATTTTAAATTTCAAATCTAAAAGCTACAATTCAGAGCAGATTTTGACATTCTTAGAGGTAACGACAAAGGAAGAGATCAGAGGCTGTAAATCTTTTCTCCCTGGGGACAGAACCAGTTTTTGCAGCTTTGTTTAAAAAAAAAAAAGAAAAAGAAAAAGAAAAAAAAGAACAGCCAATAGGAGTAGCAGCAGCAAGAGGAAAAAAAAGAGGATTTTACACTTTGGACTTTGTATCAGGCACTTAAATTGCTGGAGAGACATGCCATTCTGAACCAAAGGTGTGAAAAATGGGTTAAAAACATTATGAAATTAAGTCTAATAAATGGAATTTCAGCAGCAAAGTGGAGGCATAGATTCAGCCTCTACCCATCCAAATACACTGAGACACATTTTCTAAAATGCCCAAGACAACAGCAGCAGCAGCAACGGCAGGAACTGTTCTGTAGTGTCTGTTTTCCTTATATGTTGTGTTGTTGACAGGAGGAGTTTCTGTGTCAAACTGAGAAGGCACGGGGGAGAAGGGAGATGCTGTGCCTAAATTCCTGGGTCATTCAGGTCCATGCTTGAACCAAACATTTTCACCAGCTGCTCTTCATAATTGGAAATATTCCTCTTCATAATGTCCATGCAGGGTCCGAGCAACCTCTCAAATGCCTGGACATCCATAACTGCATTTAAAACATGAGAGAAACAACTGGGTAAGTGATTAAAATAATGGCATATCTGCAAACCATTCCTTATACATTTCAGTCCCTGGAACACAATCCTTCATCTCTAGGTATTAAAATCTGAGGCCTAGCCACACCTCTTCTATGATGTTTCCTGAAAGTGATCTCTCAAACTTTCTCAGAGCAATCTGTCTGGGCCTCTCCTTTATTCCTATTACACTATACTTTGTGTTATACATACCCATACACAAAATGTAATGTCAGATCTCTTTTCAATAACTCTCCCTTCCAATTATACTGTAATCTTTTTGAGGGCAGGGGACATGCTGTTTTTCATTTTTGTAGCCTTAATTCCAAGCATAATATGGCCTTAAAATGTAGTAGGAACTTAAAAATGTTTACTAAATGGATTTCAAATCCATGTTTTACAGAATTTTTGTAACACTATACACTTGGGAAAAATAAGTATGATACAACTTAAATACCATGTAGATAGCAAAGATCACTATACCAAGGTTTAGAGTTGGAAAGGGACTTGGAGGTTGTCTAATCTAATATTCATTGTACAGATAAGGAAATTGGACTCTAGAGAGAAGTGATATTCTCAAGCTCACATGCAGGTATTAAATACGAGAGCCAGGATTTGAACCCACGTCCCCTGATGCAAAATGCAATATCCATTCCATTGTACTATGTTCTGCATTCATGTGCCTGTGGCACCTCAGATCACTCTAGGATCAATGAAGGAGCTAGGTACCGATTTATCTGCAATGCAGATCTAAAGGAGATTGTGATTCACCTGCCAAGAGTACATGATCATCTCTGAGTAACAATACAATGCCAATTCTTAGGACTGAGACTGTGAAGACCAAAATGATAGACTCCCATGTTGAAATCTGGGCTTAAATGTCAGTAGATGAATGAGAGGAAGCTCTTGAGAAAAAAAAAGTGCATAAAAACAAATGGCTTACCTAAGCATTTGACATCTCCAACTGCATAAGCAGAAGCTGCTCTGGGTTTGTTGGTGACAAGAGCAAGCTCTCCAAAATACTGTCCTTTTTGACACCGGGCAATTTCCACTTCATCCTCTGTGTCCTTATTTGTCTAAAGCAGGCAGAGAACAGTCAGTTTTGAATACACTGTGTAAATTTTAATTGTGGACATGAACATTTTCATAGCACACAGTGTATTCAATGTGATTACTGAGTAGCTATAACACAGAAAGCTACAGTTCTACTGTACATTATAATTTATACTGAATAACAATTAGGTTTAAAGGAATTTTTACCAGACCATCCTCTGAAGCCCAAGGAGTTTGTTTTAGGTAGCTTCTCAGCTACTGACAGTAGTTAGGACTCTCCTGTAAAGGTATTCTGGGATGAATTTTGTAGGCTAAAAGATAGGGTATTCTTTGTGGATGGTGACCATTTGGAGACTGGGCAAAAATAAAAGAACATAAATTGAACTGTCCCTACCTAAATTACAGAGACCCTTCTTGACAAAGGGTCACAAAGAGACTTTCTCTTCTATGTTAAGAATTTAACTTTCTTAAGCAACACTCACACAGGGCCAAGCCGAGGCTTTTAACATACTCAAGACTTAGTAATCAATCATAAGCTGTTATTAATCAGCACAAAGCATATCGGGCTAACTAACAAACATTATGAAGTGGCTGTCCTATAGATATCTTAAACCAAACATTTCCAAAACATAACTCATTATTATATTTCTTTAAACCCACTCCTCTTCTGAACTTTCCTACTTCGCAACACCGTTCTTTTGTTTGGCCAGATTTGAAAGCTGTTATCCTTGTCTCCTTACTTCTCCTTTACCAATCATTTGAGAAATCTTGTCAGTTTTACCTTCACAATATATCATATCCATCATCTTCTCTCTTTATTCACACAGCTATCACCCTAGTTCTGTTCCTTAACACCTTTTACCTGGACTACTGTAACAGCCTCTTAATTGTTTAACTTGCCTCCAGTCTTTCCTCATTCTCCTAGTTAACTAGTACATGGTCCCCCAATACCTCCCACAAAAAAGAAACAAACAAACAAACCAAAAAACAACTCTTACATTATTTTTATCATAAAGAACTTGACAAAACCCAACACAAGCATTTCCTTATACAAAGAACAGAAAAAAGCTTGTTTTTTAGTTTTGTTAAGGTATAGATATATTTAACATGGCAGTTCCAACACTGCCATGTTTATGTGTGTTCCTTTCTGAACTTCATTCTCTTCTCTTCTGTGTATTTTTTAAAAACATTTCATTGACAGTTCTTTCTTTTTTACTGTTATCTCTATAACCACCCTATTAATTCTGCTGTAAATCTCCTTCCTCTAAAATGAGTGTAGTCAAACAAAACAAATCTATGTGTTGGCTGTCTCAAAATGTATGTATCATCCTGAATTTTAGTTCATCACTTCTCTGTAAAAATGTGGATAGCATTATTCATGATTAGTCTTCTGGACTCATCATTGCTTACTGCATTGATTAGAGTTCGTAAGTCTTTCATAGTTGTTTTTACTTTGTAACATTGTAGCTACTGTATCAATTATTCTCCTGGTCCTCCTCATATCACTCTGTATCAATTCATACAAGTCCTTCCAGGTTTTCCTGAATCTATTCCCCTTCATTTTTTTTAAACATCACAGTAATATTTCATTATCTTCAGATACCAAAATTTGTTCAACCACTCTCTGATGAGGAACCATGTCGTTTTTAGTTCTTTGCTATAATAAAGTGCCATTATAAATATATTTTTTGTACATATGGGTCATTTACCTGTCTTTGATCTTTTTGAGACTGTCTAGTAGTTATATCACTGGATCAGAAAGTATATACCATTTAATCAGTTTAAGAGAATAGTGCCAAAATGCTTTTCAGAATGAATGGCTGGACTAATTCATAACTCCACCTTCTACAGAAAGCCTTTCTCAAATGAAGAATTTCTTAATTCTAGTGCCTTCCCTCTATTAATTATTTCTTATTTACCCTGTATATAAAACTGTTTGTAGATATCTGTTTGCTTGTTGTCTCCCTAATTAGATTGTAAACTTCTTGAGGGCAGTGACTGTCTTTTGCCTTTCTTTGTATCCTCAGCACTTAGCACAGTGTCTGATACATAGCAAGTGCTTAATAAATGCTTCTCTGGTCTATTTTTTCAAGGAGCCCATTAGTTGAGTATGATTTTCCATCTTCTGTTCAAAGTTTTTTTTTAATTCTCCTTCCATTTTTTCCTCCTCTAGAGCTCTCATTTCAATTTTCATCTTTTGCTGCATGTCTTCCAGACATTCTTGTAATCTCTCTGGGCCCAACAGACCTTTCCTACTGACCTTCTAAATTGTCTTTGGCATCTGTGGGCTGAGAAGTCTGGAAAACTGCTTCCAGTGATTCAATCCCCTGAGGCCTGCTCTGGGTTTGCTGGGGCCTGGTCTGTGCTCCTCTCTCAGCCTGGTGCAACAGACCTTTCCTGTCAACCTTCCAGGTTGTCTTGGGCTGGAAATTTGTTTTACTCTTTTTGTGGATTCTGCTGCTCTAGAATTTGTTTAGAGTCATTTTTTTAAAGGTATTTGGAGGGATTTAGAGGGGAGCTCAGGTCAGTTCCTGTCTTTACTTCACCATGTTGGCTCTGCCCCTACAAGGAACTATCTTAAACAGAAATGTAAGACAAAGGATAAGAAAGTGGGTCAGACAGCCCTGGTCACCTCAGGAGATGGCTGGTGGGGATAGAGACAAAAGATGAAGCCCCCTTGAATTACTTAGAAGTGCACTAAAACTTTTGTGACAAGCCATATGTACATGTTTCCTCTAACAGAATAAAAGCTCCTTGAGGCCTGGGATGTTTCATTTTTGTGTCCCCAGCATCTAGCACAGTGCCTGGCATACAGTAGGTGTTTCATACTATTGACAAAGAGAAAGGCTTTATGATGTAGAAGATAGGAAGTCGACTTCATGGTTCACAAGAACTGGGTTAAATTGGCTATGTAACCCTGGGCTAACCTCTCCGTGTTCCAAGAAATTTTATTCTTTTTTTATTATGAACTTAACAAATACAAATATTTCAATGTAAAAGGAATAGAAGGTGGGCACCTAGGTGGCACAGTGGATAGAGCACCAGCCCTGAAGTCAGGAGGACCTGAATTCAAATTCGGCCTCAGACCAAACACTTGACACTTACTAGCTGTGTGACCCTGGGCAAGTCACTTAACCCCAACTGCCTAAAAGCAAAACAAACAAACAAAAACCAACCCAGAATAGAAAAAAATTGACATAAAACTGTGAACCTGTTATATAGTTTTTTAAAAATTATGTATTAAATTTAGCTTAGTAGTAATAATCTCGCTCTGCTTGTTTGTGTCCCTTGCTGAATTTCTTTTTACTCTCTTTCACTCATTCAAAAAAAATTATCAGATACCCCAGCTAATTTTTTTTAAGATTATAACCTGACCAGTGTTGATATACAGTGCTAAAGGCAGTCTCCCCCACCATTATACTCTCTACACCAATGAGAATACAGGTCCAGACCCCCCCCCCAAAAAAAAAATTAAAAGTAGGTTGTAACTGTGTTCATCCAAATACCTGAAATTATTTCCTGTATCAAAATCCTTTAGAAAATATAATATTTACTTTTGCTTCTACTTGAAAAAACATTTAAATAAATATTTAATTACTGTCATTTATTAATATATTTGGTTGGCAATTATGTGCTTTACTAAGTAAGCAAATTGCTATTTAATTACTAGACATTATTGTTAATTCTTATAAGGTAGTTGAAGTTATGTGTAGGCAGACAGATTTTTAAGGTAATAAAAAGATTGTAAAAGAAGGCTACATTGCTTACTTACATATTTGTTTTTTCCATGACTCTTAAGTCTCAGTTTATGCCATTCCAAATTGCCCTCTTCTATCTGAATTTCTCCTGCCCTTTAAAGCCCAGCTCAGATTACATCGTCTGAGGGAAGTTTCCCTTGTTGGAACTGATCTCTCCTCTGAAATTTCATTGCACATCTATACCTTTCTAAGGACATGCATCACATTCTACTTTGTATTATCATTACTATACACATGTTTTAACTTTCCTACTAGACTGAGAGCTCCTCAAGGGCAGGGCATTAGACGTTTTTTCAGGGTTATGTCCACTCTAAATGACTTAGCATATATATATATATATTATATATATATATAGTTGGCACTCAGTAAGTGTTGAATGAATGAATAAATGAATGACTGTTAACCAAAATTTTTGATAAGATAAACAGTAGTTTTAAATTGAGATCGCAACAAGCTACCAGCTCGTCTGGCATAAAAGCTAGAGAACTTTCTGATCAGGGTAACAAATCTACCCTTTTGGTATAATATAGATTTTCTCTGAATATTTATCATACTTTTAAAGTGACTGTCACTTCCATGAACAGTGTATGGCAACAGATCTCACAAAAGGTCTGAATGAGTACTATAGATGATATCTCATTATGACAAACTACAGAGGATCTATTTTGTGGTGGAGTTTGTTATAAGAAATATGTTGACATTACTAGCTCTGTGACTCTGGGCAAGTCACTTAACCCCATTGCCTAGCCAAAAACAAAAACAAAAACAGAAATATGTTGGCAGAATGCAACTGAGCTGACCTCAGTCTGTGTGAATTACTAGTAGAAAGAGAAGCTATCATACACATATCACTGCTATTCCTTTCCATTTCTAGCTCTGTGGTATTTTTGTGTGTCTCTTTATCTGTTCATTGTACCTATATCACAGGGCTGTTGCGAGAATGGAATGAAATAATGGATATGAAAAAACTTTGAAAAACATTAAGTAACCACACAGAACATAGGGCATTACAGTAACACTTTGCATATTCCATTTATCTCACAATTCTAACCTTTTGGGACTAAGTCATAAAATAAAAAAGGCCTCTGAGCAAACAACCAGTCAATAAATATTTATTAATCTCCTACTATGTGTTGGATATTATGCTAGGTACTGAGCAACCCAAAGTCCATTTAGTAAAGCATCCTTATCATTTTATTTAAAGGAGAGTTCAACAAAGCTATAACTTGAAGTCTACGTATTTTTATTTTATGATACAATTCTAGCAAGATTGTGCTTGCTGGTTTCTCCTATCATAGTGGGTCAGAAACAAAAAATTAAAAGGCTGAGGACTGCTAGGGGTTGGTTTACTAACAGCAGTATAACAGTAGCAACTTACGTCTCTTTCCCACCTTACCCATTATAAAGCCCTTTCCTCACAAGAGCTTTGTGACGTAGACAGTGCAAATGTTACTGTACAGATGAAGAAACTTGAAGGTTCAGAGAAGTCACATAACTAGTTAGCAAGTACTAGGGGTAGAGCTCAAACCTAAGTCTTCTAACTCTGAATTCAACATTCTTTCCCACTATGCTACTCATAGTCCCCTGAAAATATACAGTTGGTAGTGAAAGAAAAGACATAATAACTATAAAAAGGAGACAAGAGCAACAAGTGCTTACTAGTCTGGTGGCCATTTAGTGCATAAGAATGAAAAACCTTACCAACCTCAATAGTTCCTGAGAACACAACTGTATTAAAACTCTAAAAAATACTTTACGTACACAATGATGACTTGAGTTGTTAAGAAAGGGACAAACTATGCTCTATACATGCTATTTAAGATGGCAGGGAAGTATGGCAATTCTAGAGAGACTTTCATAAAAAATGGCTCAAATAAAGAGTTAGCACTCAAAGAGTCAAACCTTTACTTAGCTAGAAAATTAAAAATTTTTTTCTAGAATAGTTCATTACCCAATTACACTTAATCAATCTGACACGATATGTAATTATTTTGGTGGTCATTTTGGAAGTAAAGGTATTTCAGGGGCTGGCCAAAATGTTCGAGTATGTAAGTCGAAGTAACTGTTGAAAGGTAAATGTTATGTGATTATGAATCTGAAGAATCATTAGCTCTAGAGAGTTTTCCCTCCTCCCTTAATACCATGTGAACAGTATATGCTCAAATATTTTATGGAGTGACTGTCAAGAGGGACAGGAACCAGAGAAAACACTAAATGATAGCACCAATTTTTCTAATAAATCAATCAATAAGCACTAATTAAATACCTACTACATGCCAGGCCATGTAAGGCCTGGGCTAAGCCCAGGTATACAAAAATAAAAACAGAACAGTCCGTGCTCTCAAGGAGTTTACATTACATATAGGGAGACCATACACACATACAGGAATACACAAAATGCATACAAAGCAGGGAGCAGGTGATCTTGGTAAGAAGCAGCAGCTAGGGGAACCTAGAGCCGTCTCCTGAAGAAGGTGGTGTCTGAGCTGAGTCTTAACAAAAACCAAGGATACAAAGAGGTAGAAGTGAAGAAGGAAGGCCTTCCAGGGGGTAAGATAATAAAAAAGCTTTTAGATGAGGAAGGCAAGTCACGTATTAGGAAAAGCAAAAATGATGAGAGAAGGCCCCTATATTTTCCCTCTTTTGTCTTGAGTGATTTAATTTTAAACCAGTGTCCATTTTGGTGTAAACTGAGCAGGTATGTCTGCTTTCCTGTATTTGGGTTTTACTCCTGACCAGGTCTCTTATTAAGACTTTCACAAAATTCTTTTTTTTTTTTTTTTGGCTAGGCAATGGGATTAAGTGGCTTGCCCAGGGTCACACAGCTAGTAAGTGTTATGTGTCTGAGGTCAGATTTGAACTCCTGAATCCAGGGCCGGTGCTCTATCCACTGTGCCACCTAGCTGCCCCTTCACAATATATTCTTACCAATGCCAATGTCCTTTTCACAGTGCCCAACTAAGACATACGATGCTACAAGGCCAAACCTCCCTTGTACTTAGTAGCCATAACTGCCCTTGCTTTTTACCTTCTGGAAGTAAAGTTGAAAATGGCTTTTAGAGAGTACTCACTTAACTGACAGACATTTTTGTCTGCCTGCCATGCCTGTTAAGATCAATAAAACTTTTACTAGGCTGTACCCTAAATTGTCTATGTGCTGTAGGATTTTCCCACCACAAAGGCCAGTTTGGCTGTCATGGAAGTACATGGAAAACATATAATATATAATGAATTTATTATATATTTTAGAAGAAAAGCAAGCCTATATAATACAGATTTGTAGCTTTATGTTGTCTTCTTTTTCTGTTCTGTTACGTATATGAAAATGTCCATTTTTATGTGCTGTTTGTTAAATTTAGGATAAAAACACCTTAAAGAATAAAAAATGTCTGAAGAACCATTTAAAAAGGAAATATATAATATGAAATGAACAATGAACAAGTAAACACTATTATAAGCTGTATTGATGGAAATGGCTGTTATAAAGACTTGTTTGTTTTGATGGGATTCTCTGCCATGGAACTTTATCCACATGATAGTGATTAAAATACAATAATATTTAACATATTTAATTGTATGGATGCACTGTTTGCTCATCTCTAAGTATTCAGATACATTTAAAAATACAAAGCCTAAATTTTTCTACTGGAGATTGTCTTTCATTTCAAGAAAGGAAAATAATATACAACCAAAACATGCATAGTGAAAATAAGATCACTGAAACAATGTCACTTTTATATCTCATAATAAAACTGACAATTCTGGAAAACAATGCAAAATTGAAATTATATGTATTGCTAACTTCTGCTTCATCTAAACTTGATCCAACATTATTTAAAATTCCAGTAAAATGACATAAGATCATATGTATACCTACCTTGCTTTTAATCAGGATTTTTACTTCTCCAGACTCCACGATATAAAAGCTCTCTGCTTTCTCACCCTACAATATGGGGAAGAGAAAGGACAGAATCATGTCTGTTATTATGCTGTCATATCCTAATTTATTTTACATTTTACATTTTACAATGTTCTCCACATCCTATTACAACATTTTTCATGGGATAATGAACTAAGATCCCTAAATGAGAGGTTCTTTGTATCTGAAGATATCAACTAACCTATGCCTGAAAGACATGACCTAATCAAGGAGTAGCCCCTTCAGCAGCACTCAGTCTCCTAACGTCGGACATTTAACACACACACACACACACACACACACACACACACACATAATTGGTCTAAACACATTCATATTTTTACTATATACAAACCGTCATTTCCCCCCCAAAATCATTTAACAACAGCACATTATAAAAATATGGGCACTAAGAGGCAGCTAGGTGGTACACTAGATAGAGCATTGGCCCTGAGGTCAGGAGGACCTGAATTCAAATCTGGCCTCAGAGCAAGCACTTGACAGTAGCTGTGTGACCCTGGGCAAGTCACTTAACCCAACTGCCAAATAAAACAAAACAAAAACAAAAACTAATATGGGCACTGATGTAATAAAAAGACATTCCTAGTGAATGTGGGCTGGCACAAAAAATACTGTCTTTCCTTTCCTGGCCACATATTTAATTACGTGAGATCAGGTAAAAGGGGAAGTATAATCAAATGTAAATGGTGCTAGGATTGGAGTCAGGAGAGACCTAACCATCAAGGGCCCAGATGCCAGAGAGCTCCAGTCATTGGCGTGAGCGAGAAAACCACTATCATCCCCTAGCCTGGGGCTTTAGGTTACTGGGAAGACTAAGAAAAAAAGTCCTACGATTAGCAAACTCCCTCTTCCCTTTTCTCCAAATCCCTGTAATTCAGAGTTGAAGGCTGCCTAAGTAACTCTTTCCCTACTTCCCCTGCCCTTAACCCCATACAGGCCCTATCATGTTCTGTCCTCCCTTCCCATTTTGCTAATGGAATTGACATTCTCTTATTAACTATTTAATCCAGCTCCTCTCAGAAGACATTACATCTGAAGTTATCCTCTCTAGTACTAGACCCACGCCCATGAAGTAAGTCTTCTGGTTTATGGTTGACCCTGGGAAAGTCATTTAACCTCTATTAACCCCAGTTTCAACTGTAAAATGGGAATAACTACCAAACTTGAAAGGTTGTTGTGAGGATCAAATAAGACAATATTGGCAAAAAGCACTTAGCACAGTGCCTATCACAAGTAGGCTCTTTATAAAAGCTTATTCCCTTCCCTACCCCTCCTTATTTCACAGTGTTGTCCTGGCAGACCTATGGACCTTAGAATAACTCCAGACACCCCAACCCCAAGGTCAGTTGTTATAATTTGCACAGAATTCATGTGTTCTTTCAGTGTTGTAATCTTTTCATTCTCTTCTGTCAAATTTTCTTCCATCTCTACTGTTTGATTCTCCATCATAAATTTTAAGTGTTTACTTTTATTTGTCCTTTCAATTTTTTGGCTTCATTTCTTTTAGCCACCCTAATTCTTTCGCACAAGACATTTTTCCCCTGAACCACTGCTTATAGTTGTGGAGTGACTATGTCCTTCTGGGTTTATCTCTTGGATTTCTCTTAATCCACAACATTTCTTCACGGAATTTGGAATTTTCTTTTGCTTACTCTTACTTACAGATTTCTGGCCTAGATTAGGACTTTGTACAAGGGTCTCATCTCTCTTTCCCTACCCCTACCACTTCCACTGGCTCTTGGATAGATGGGGTAGGCCCTGTTTTGTCCTGTCTCCTCTGCAGGCTAAAACCTACTGTTGTTTTGGATGGGATGGCTGACACCAGGTTTCCACTGTAGACTTCAATCCCTTTGTCTTATTCTATTGCTGGTCAAATTTGAGTGTCAGATTCAATCCATTTCCATTTCTTCCTAACACCATCTCGAGTAGGGCCTTAGTTTCTTCTCCTGTGATCCTGACAAAACCCAATTGAATTCTGGAGATCACACATCCTGCAACTGAGTTAGAATTGTCTCCTGCTATGAATCCTAGGAATGCACAGTCAGACAGTGTCTCTCTGTGTAAGTGACCTTTGGAGTTTGGCTCTGTCAGTCACTTCTGTTCCAACAGGCCAAAGTCATGGTCCTGCTGGCTTCTGGCCCTGATTACCAGACCTCCTGTTGGCTTCTAGGATCTTCTTGGAGAATTTACTTATTCATAGTGTCAGCAAGGTTCATACCAACTGACTAGAGTACAAGCTGGCTTCCCTGGTGTGACCCCTCTCCCCATGCCTGTATCTTAAGGTCTTTTTATTAGAATTTGTATTGGTTTCTCTAGTGAGATTTCTCTTCCAGCACCTGTGTACTACTGGTCATCTGGTTCAGCTCTAGAGTGGAATGGAAGAGTTTGGTTTACTGGATAACTGCTCTGTCTAGTGTCATTTTAGATTGCTTGAGTTCATGTGGGAGAGGCAGGCTCCTCTATGCCTTATTACCAAATAATTTTGATGAGTATGGCTTTTTAATGTAATTTGAGGTCTAGAAGTGGTATTTGCTCTTCATTCTTACGTTTTTCATCATTTCCTTCCAGGTTCTAAACCTTTTGTAGTAAGAGGAACACAAATCAAAACAATTCTGAGGTTTTACCTCACATTTAAGAAAAAGGCAAAGACAAGATAAGCATAAAGTCAATGATGGAGGGGCTACAAAAAGACAACTGTTCCACTGTTGATGGAACCATGAATTGGTCCAACCATTCCAGAAAGCAATTTTAGAATCATGCTAAGAAATCTCATCTGTTGCCAGATATTGCTTACCTTTACATCTCTCATACTCACATAGCCACCACTCTAGTTCACCTCTTGCCTTAACTGTTACAGTAGCTGAATTGGTCTCATGGCCTCCCATGCCAATCTATCCTCTGCCAGCTTTCAAAAGCTTAAGTATGACTATGCTACCAATACCCTTCCCCCCTTGAATGAGCTCCAGTGGCTCCCTATTACCTCAAGATTCTTTCCTTGGCATTTAAAGTTCTTAATAGCCTGACACCTTCCTACTATTCTTCTTACACTTGATTCTCCTCCATGTACTATACAATCCAGCTACACAGACCACTTGTAGCTCCTTGAATATTGCAGTCCAACTCTCACTTCTGTACCTTTGCAATGGTTGCCCCCTGTGCCTGAAATGCTCTAACTTTTCACTTTCACCTCTTTGGTTTCCTTGGTTTTCATTAGGACACAGCTCAGCTCTGACTGTCTGTCCCAGTATCTCTTGTTACTGGTGCCTTTCCCTTTCAGATTACCTTCCATCTACTCTGCACATATTTTTCCATATCTCACTGTTTACATGTCTACTCCATTAGACTGCACACTCCTTGAGGACAGGGTTTGTTTTTGCCTTCTGTTGTATCCCTGGCACTTAGCATAGTGACTGAAACATAGCTGTATTTACCAAAACACACACACACACACACACGTGTATATACACACATATATATGCCCAACAAGGTAAAGTCAAAAAATCAAAATACTCTTAGAAAGACTTTCTGTGGTAGCTAAGAACTGGAAACAAAGACGATGATCAATGATTGAGGAATGGCTAAAAAAGTTGTGGTACACAAAGAAAATGCAATATCACTGCATGTAAAGAACAATGAATATTAACAATTCCAACATGCATGGGAAAGTCTTATGCCAGGAGTTTTTAATCTATTTTTGTGTCATGGGCCCCTTTGGAAGTCTGGTGAAACCTTTGTACCCCTACTCAGAATAATGTTTTAAATGCACAAAATAAAATACACAGAATTACAAAGAAACTAAATATATAGTAAAATAGTTGTCAAAGGATTTTTCAAAAATAAGTACATGAGGGCTCTGTGTGGGCGACCCCAGTTCTGTCTTCTCCATGAGATGCTCTGCCCCCACCTCATTGCTCTCTGGGCCCTCCTGCTCGGGATGGCAGTGCAGCCAGCCAGCCTTGGAGCCCTGGGGAGCATGGTGTATTTGGGGGGGGGGCCTTGTGGGGGTGGAGGATGGCAGAGGGATGGGGGCTCAGGTTGTCCCAGGCTAAGGACAGGGTGGAGGTGGCCCTGTGGAGCCTCCCTTGGGGGGTGCCCGGACAGCCCAAGTCTGCCAAGTCCCCTTTATCAGGAAAATACATGTGAAATCAAGGACTCAACTCTAGAGGGCAGCAATTATATGGAAGAATCATCTATAAAAAGACATACAATGAATCCTAATAAATGTGGTGAAACCTTCAAGATATCTCAAGATATTACAAGACACTCTATTTTCCAGAGCTAAGGCCCAGCAAGCAGGCTGTGCCCTGAACTTGGTATAACAGCAATCCTTTGTGTTCACCCTCTGGATGATCTCAGCCATAGCAAAGCCCCAGAATTGGGACTTATAACTTCCTTATTTCCCTGGGGATCCTGACCTGAGAGCTGGAACTGTAGCTACCATACTACAGCAGAAAGTGATCAATGACATTTCCTGACACTCTGAACAATCCCTGTGCCTGTAAATAAGTAAACTGAATGAAGTGCTGTACTCCTGTTCCCACCAAGCTAACTATGGTTCCAATACCCCGCTGAATGATCACAAAGCTCAATGACCCTTAAGACTCAAGACAATCACAAGGCTCAACAATTTTAATAACTTAGAGATTGATCCCATAGGACCCAAGAACACCTGTATTGTCCTAAAAAATGCCAACCATGGGAACTGTTTACTCAAGACCTATGAATAAGTGTGTTGGGCCCTGCCTTTTTGTAGTTTTCATGCTTAAAATTCCTATCCCTGCCATAAACTATAAGCCCTCCTTTTCAGAAGGACTTCTGCTTGCAAGTGTTTTCCTCACTTTGAAATTAAACTTCTGTTTGATTCCTGACTCTCCTGTCTCTGGTCTGCTTTATTCAGCACTGGCAATCCACAAGTTAGAGACTGGTTCTAGTCCAGATGACAAGGCAGATGGAACACCTTATTATACACCAGAGAATTCAGACAGGAGAGAAATCCTTTCAAT